GCCACCAACGGCAATTTTTAAATTTCGATTATTAAAATGTTTGTTAGTACGGATGCAAGTTAGCTAAATCCCCCCCGCAGCTTGAGAACTCTCAGCCTTCTAGCCTTGGTCTGAAAATTGGTCTGAAAATGATTCGCGCTTTCTAATTTACTCATCATCTTCAGTATTTAGCATCCTGCATTCAGTCACTTTTGACCGGTACGGAATTGACCGTTACATCTCGCAGCATGCCGAGGGCGATCATTAATTTAGGTGACAGAAAAATTTGGGATCACCGAAAGGGGGCATCTGTTTTACTTGGCCAAATTGTTCCAGACTCGTCGATGACCTACTTACCAAGTCGAACAACTCAGTTTACCGCCGGGTAGCCTGTTCATCGAGTGAGTGTATGAAGAAAGGGTGGGTAAGCTAGCAACGGGTTTTGGCACCGATTCCATGGCAAAGGCGAGGGGAAACTTCAGTGGTTATTGCTGAAGAAACTTGTCTTCTTACAAAATAGACATTTGGGCTAAGTTATTAACCATTTCAAAGACGACACGGCCACTTCTTTTGGGGATGTTGTAATCAGATCCAACATCTGTTACAAACAGTTCCTAGGGGTAGGTGCTGTAGGCAATTTGGCATTGGCTTATCTTTATTTGGCACGACAATACCCTCTGACCACGAATACTTGTCTTTGTTTTTCAGGATCAAAGATTTAGAGGGCAGGTAGGTTAATTTGAGGCACAAAAAAAAAGTTAATCAATTTAATTTAAAACAGGAAAGACAGAGCCAGCGATGGCGGATGATATGTTGCGGCCGTTCGTCCCATATTACTCGATGCCATCGTTTACAAAGTAATTTTTTACAAGTTGATATTTTTGAGTTTCCAGAATAGCAGAAACCATCAGTTTGTTAGGTGAAATCTAGTTTAAAAAAGTCTGGGAAAAACTTAGAGGAAACATTGTTTAGAAGATCCAGATGAATTAATTTATGTGAAGCATAAATGGTATCTTCAAATCACTCGGTGCCAAATTTTTTTTGTCTTAAGCGTTGAAATCTTAACTGTGCAAGAAAATGTAATATTGAGTTTATGTGGCATTATGAGCAGTTCGCAAAATTGGTTTAGAAAGAGATGAATAATTTTTGGAAAAAAATGGCTGCATTTTTCAGAGATTTGCCAGAAACGAAGAAGCTTGGTATTATCCTGAAGTAAGTTTTTTTTTTTAACTCTTTAATTAAAGAACGTTAAATAACTCGGAATCGAAATTCGAATAGCGTATGTATTCAGATTTGTTCCCCTGCGCTGAGACAAATAAAACTCAAAGTTTAAAATTTTTGTGCTTTTCAAGCAAACAACAAGCTTGTTTTTTCCATCAGAAGATGAATAGATTTTTTCATGTTTTTAGAGATTCATCAGTTGCAAGGGCTCAGCAATTTCCACTAAACCGCACAGTTGTACCGAGATTTTGATGCGCATCGTCAATTATTTGTTTTGCATATTATGAAAATAATGCATGCACATAAATGAGAATTGCGCATACCATAAAGTAGTAGAATAATAAGCTCGTATTGCAGGCACTTGTACTTTCTAAAGCGCGAGGGTCCTGATGCGCAAGAGGAGCTGGTAAAAATGCTGAAGGAAACGATAGAAAAATATTCGACACCGCATAGCGGATTCTACCACGATCCACGGCTTCTGGAAGTCTTCTTAATCCAGGTAACCTGCTTTGATCTGGTTTAGTTCCAGGAAGAGCTTCACTGAAGTTGAATA